TGTGGCCTCATTTTCTGTCCAGAATTTCATTTAAAAAATATTAATAATCCAGATTTAAATTTATTGATCCATTTAGGGAGCAAAGGATGGCTGGAACTGTTTTGAAATGGGTTCAAGATGACCCATAATGATCTCATTTAGTTTTTGTCGCCTTATAAAGAAAAATATCCTGCTGCTTCACAGCATTGTGAAGAGCTGTCGGAAGTTCCTTGTAGGAACTCAAAAACAACTGCTGTGCAACTATGCCATCCACCCAGACCCAAAATATATATTTTTAAATAATACTTGATCCTTTAAAGGACCACCAGGATGCTCTAGAGCAGTAGTTGAAAGAAAGACTTGATAAATTGTTCTGCAAAAGCAAACCGTTTTTATCATACCCCTCTCACAAAATAGGTTATGTTCATGTGGTCACTATGGTTAAGCTTTACTTAAGCCAAATCTTTATGAATAGATTTCTCCATCATCCTCATGTTGTCACCCCTCAGGACCAATTGTCTAGGTGGCCACATAGAAATGGTAAGTTTAGCCCTGATTTTCAGTGCCTTTCTTGATAATACTATGAGAGCTGGTTCTCACCCAGTTACAAGCAAACAGTCTGATAGAATAAAACAGCCTAATACAGAACAAGAGCTATTTGTATCTTCCCCCTTCCTCCTAAAAAAAAAAAAAGAATATATTTTACTTCATTACATCAGAGTTAGCAATTTTATGCCTTTGAAAGTTTGCTTTTGTCACTTCTTGTGAAACTGTTTGAGAAAAGAAAAACCAGAAAGTCCAGTTGCCTCTTGAAAAAGCACCTTTGGGATGTTTGAGAGAAACATGACCAAGATCTTTGTTTTACTCTTCTAGGCTCCCAAAGAGCAAGTCCTCGTGGAAAGAAATTTGTCGTGGCTTTCATGCAAGACCACCAGAAATACCAACGCAAGCCATCTGACATGAAATACCAGCTGCTGATCACTGGTCATCATCCCTCAACTCTTACCAAAGTGTCAGTAAGCAAGCATATGTTCTGGAGAACACTTGTAATCAACAAAGGAATGGTATTAACAGTTAATCTCCCAGACACATTTCAGATGAGTGAATCAAATTATTTTGATGGGACTGTGTTCATTGAAGCTAACAAAGACATTTCAGTCTTTGCCCAGGGTCACAGAGGGTCTTTGGTTGGCACTACTCTTTTGCTCCCGGTCCACCAGCTAGATAGAGTGTATCACGTGGTAACTCCAGATGATAGCAACACAGATGGTTTCAAGGAATTTGCCATTGTAGCTCAGGAAAATGCCACTGATGTTGATATTTCCCTAAAAGGAGATGTGCTATTCAATGGACAGGTTTATCCTGCAGGGAGCAAACTTTCTGTTAATCTTAAGGCATTCCAAGCACTTCAGCTGCAAAGCTCAGATGATTTATCAGGTACCAGAATTGAATCAAAGGAACCCGTGGCTGTCTTCAGTGGACACAGCTGTATTATGAAAAACAACGACTGCAACCAAGTTTTTGAACAGCTGCTGCCCAGTTCAAGCTGGGGTACCTTCTTCATTGTCCCTGTGCTCCCTTTCCAAAACAGGGATGGCGTACTGTATATAACGGCTTCTCAAAACACTTATCTCAAATACCAACATGGGAATGTGCTCGGCTCCCAGACCCTGGAATCTGGAGAAGTCATGCAGATAAACAAATATTCTTCTGAGCCAGTTTCTATTTCCGCCAGTGCTAGAATCCAGGTGCTTTACTACTCTACTGGAGGCGAAAGCCAAGGCCATGGACCATTGCTACTCAATATTCCAGCTGTTACAACCTTTTGCAGATCATATGATCTTCCCTACACGAAGCATTTGGATAATTATGCTATCATCATAGCCAAAACCTCCGATCTCAGTGGAATCAGAATACAGAGGAAGCCCTTTGCAAAAAGCCAGTGGAAATCAGTCCCAGACACAGAATACTACTGGACTGAACACAGCTTGGCTAGGGAAGTAGGTATTCTTTCTTCATTGGGTTTTCATGTTCCACTTGGGGTCTTCACCCTTGGATTTTCACAGAATGATGGCTATGGCTCACAGGATCATTGTACCTCCCGTAAGTATTGTCAAACTTAATACCTTTCATTTTGTGAGTCTTTCTGATTGTGTGGCTTTGCATTTTTGCTGAAAGGAGCTCTTCCTGAAGGAAACTCTATATCGTATTTGCCTGGACAAGAGCTCTTTTATACCATGTGATTTATAGTTCATTGACGGATTAAGCCAGCCAAGTGGGATACACATGGGAATAAGCCTTGGAAACTATCCTTAGAGCAGGGGATGTCAAACTTGTGTCATCACAGCTGCATCACATAATGTATTGGGACTATTTTCTCCTTTGCTAAACTTGGCCTGCCTTAGAGTGTCACAGTTTTCTCAACCTTGGCAACTTTAAGATGTGTGGACTTCAACTCCCAGAATTCCCTAGGCAGCCATGTTAGCTGGGGAATTCTGGGAGTTGAAGTCCGCACGTCTTAATTGACAAGGTTGAGAAAGCTTGCTTTAGTATCATGGATGGTTATGGCCAGGGATGGGATCTGACTGGTATAACTACCGGTTCTGCGTCGCATGAGTCGCGTGACTGCAATTTACAACCTGCTGAGCTGCCTGGAGAGCTGAGCAGTGCTGCGTGCAAGTGCGCAGCAGTTGGAAAAGCCCTTTTTTTCCTGCTTTTTCAACCGCAGCTGTGTTGCGCAAAGCAGCAGCGGTTGAAAAAGCAGGAAATAAAGGTCACGTAACAGCCTGGGCAGGCGGGTGGGCCAAAACAGTAGCAGACATAGAACCGATTCTATGTATGCTCTCTGTCTGCTGCTCTTCAGAACTACCGGTTCTACAGAGGTGGACAGAACCAGTAGACCCCCCCCCCTCCCCCGGTTATGGCTCATAACTGTTTGCTTCTCCAATAAGTATTTAAAAGCTTAATATTATTTTCAAGAAATAAGAGGGGATATGGAG